CTTTTCCATTGTTTACGAGTTATGGTTTCTTCCACTGGTGAAGTATCCATGTCATTTCCATTCTGTTCAGTAAATGATGTTTCAGATTCTGAAAATGGAAAACAAGAAAATTTGTGCTGTGTAAAAATATTATTTGTACCCTTAGTTCCACAAGAGATGGGTAAGAGAGCAAGGACATCCTTTGGCAATAAGGTTTTATATAAATGGAGTTCCTTGTGTTCTTCACAAGAATAATTGTGTGAAGAAGATATAGATGTAGGGTCCTTAGATCAAAGGAAATAAATACACTAAACATGTGTCTCGAATTCCAGAAACCACATAGAAAAAGTATTCAGTACATTTATTTCCTACCTTTCCAATAAGGAGCAGTACATGCATCTCCTCCTCAAGAAGTTTTTCTCATGAGTAAATCAGGCAGGAACCCCATATTTATCGCCTTGGGTTCCAAATGAAAAGTGAGATATAATATAAATAACTGTAAGATAGATTGTGCTAAGAGGTAATGATTTACACAAACAGTATGTTTTATGAGTGATTTTGGATTGGAGATGTATCTTCCTAGTCATATCTCAACTGGAAAAAGTTATCTTGCTGTATTAAAAATTAATTCCAAAACACTACAGCTGTTGTGCATTTCATAATAAAAATCATAAAACACTTTCGCTTTAAACCAGTATCTTTATTTTCTTTATCCTAAGATTAGACATTTCAAGACTGCCCAAACAACTAAAAATGCATTACCACTGATTTTGTTTTGTTTTTTTACTATGAGATACAGTATTGTAAGACACTATGAGAAACTGTACAGTATTGTGAGTACTTCCATAACCATGTCATGCAAAAAAAATGGTAAGGGAGCAATATAATTGTACCTCTTGCTGGTTCCCTTTTCTTTTCTTTTTAACATTTCATGGAAACTAATAACAACACTGGTTATGTAAGCATGGGCATGTCATCAGAAATGAGCTGCAATCAGCATCACCTGCTTTTCTTCTAATAGTCAGAACATATATATTATGTCTGAGCCGAGAAGCGATTGTCACATTAAATCTGTTCTTCTAATAATTGCATTCTAATGAAATGGAAATGACCAAATTACAGGCTGATTTGTATCTCATATGATTCCGAAAGATGATGAACAGAACAGTAGCTTCTCAACTGCTGCAAGCAGTTGAAGCAGATTATTTTGACTCTGGTTTCATAGGAAAGGTTAAGCCTGCCTTGGTAGACAAAATGATCTTTGGCTGGGGAAGAGAAAGAATTTACTTCTTTACTCTCCTTGACTTCTCATCAATTTTCATTATCATCAACCATGACTTTCTTCTAAATTACTTTAAGGGTATTATTGAAATATTTTATATGATTCCATTCCTATCTGTCAGGCATGCGCTTAAAATAGTGTTGCTTGGACACAGTTGCTCTATGAAACTGGAATTCATGGTGTCCCTCGGGTTTCATACTATCTCCAATGCTTTCAGTGTCTATACAAAGCATCTCAATGAGATCATTAGGCATTTTAGATCAGTATATCCAATTTATTTCTTTGCAACATCTCCAGGTAACACATCTGGGACACATCTGAATGATTGCAGTCAATAATGGGCTGTATATGGGATAACAAACTGAAACAGGATAACCGGAGTTGCTCACTATAAATGAATCACAGTTTAAGATTTTAAATGTGCTTCACATTTCTAGGAGATCATCTTTTGTCTCAGAGTGCTTCTGAATCTGAAGTGTATTTGGGTTGATACTTTCGAATTTTAATTTTACTTAGGGAAAATTGACATAAGAAGGTACTGCGGACACTGATATCGCTCAGCCTTAACTATGGGCAAGCTCTGGAAATTTCAGTTAATACAGAAGTCAAGGACATAAAACTTAGATCATATTGTTATCTATACGGAAGGTTTTATACTGGTTGCTGTTTCATTTCCAAATGTGATACAAAGTGCTGATGGTTACGTTTCAAGCCTTCTATGACTTTTAGCTTTCTAAATCTAAAAACATCTCTTTCAACAGACCACAATTTAATATTCTTAGATTGAAATTTCATTTTTATTATAAACCATTTTAAAACATTCTAACTAGCAGAATAGCCATTCTAATAAATAGCAATGATGCACTGCATTGGCTTGTACTCTCTGCTGAAATTGTTTTCAAAATTCTATACGTACCTAGAGGTGCCTTCTTTTTCCTGCGCTTCTTCTGAGATGGAACATCCTGCGTTTCAGAGGTCAGAGGCTCATTGCTTTCAGATACAGCAACTTGACCAAAGCCATCTAAAATGGATTATGTGTCATCAAGTCAGTATTGACTGTTAGTAACCGTAGACTGATGTTACCTAAAAAGCACTCAAGTGCATTACAAGATGCTTCCAAGACTTTGAAGATCTGCACAAAAAATCTTTGAGCCTAGTTAACTCTTGCTGAATTCTTCAAAGACTTTATTGGAATATTTTACTAAGTATTTACCAGCAAGTACAAACTGTATTCCAAGTTAGGGTATTGTCAATTACAGATTAGTCCTCAGGTTATGATGGCATGGGGACTGCAATTGCTATTGCTAAGCGACATGGTTGTAAAGTACTTTGCTAAGTCATTAAGCAAGGAGCATGCAGGTTGTTAAGAGATCGCAACTTGTGACTTCTTGCCAACCTATCCATTGACTTTGCTTGTGGGAAGCTTGCAGGGAATGTCAGAAATCACAAACGTGATCCAGCAGCCATTAGGATTTACCTTTGTACTACTTTAGCTGCTTGTGTGTATATTGCTGGTGGCGCAATGATTAGAAGGCAGTATTAACTCTGCCCACAGCCTGGAGTTCGATCCTGATGGAGCCTAAGGTTGACTTAGCTTTCCATCCTTCTAAGGTCGGTAAAATAAGGACCTAGATCAGTGGTTCTCAACCTATTTAATGCCGCGACCCCCAACCGGTCATAAGTCGAGGACTAAACTGGTCGTAAGTCGAGGACTAAACCAGTCGTAAGTCGGACTACCCAACCGGTCATAAGTCGAGGACTTTCCCTGCCCGGGAGCGCCACGCATGCGTGGTTCCGCCCCCTGCGCTGGCCGAGGCGTAGCTGGCAAGTAGCAGAGACGGAGCAGGCCGACCACCAGCTGGCCCAGCTCAAGGGAGGTAAGGCACCCGCCGGAAAAGGGAAAAAAAATGGCGGACAGCCTTGCTTGGCGACCCCCATGAAATGGTCGATCGACCCCAAATGGGGTCGCGACCCATAGGTTGAGAACCGCTGACCTAGATTGTTGGGGGCAATATGCAAATAATGCTTGTACACTGTAAATAGCCCAGAGAGTGGCATAAAGCACTGAGGATGGTATATAAGTCTAAGTGCTATTGCTGTGTTATAGACTGTTTCAGTAAATATGAAACTACTGTTATTTATGAAACTAATTGAAGGTGTGAAATAATCTTCATAAACTATATGGAGCTCAAGTTATAACTATAATCCAGCATTAAGTAGCCATTCATAAATTGCACCTTTAAATCTTCTAACCCTTTTCATACTAACTTGCCTTAACTGAATCATCTGCTTACCTAAAGAGTTTTTCTTGACTTTTTTCTTTTTGGGACGACTAAGAGGAATTTCATCTGCAAAACCAGAAGCCAACAATTAGTGCCATAATAGTAAACATACATTATTATTTGTATAATGTTTTAGGTACTTTATTCAAACTATTTCATGTGCATTATCTAGTTGAGTATTTACAACTGTCCAATCATCTTAATGCTCACTCCCAGTTTGGAGACATGATTTTGGAACTTCATGTGCCTCTTTTCATTTCAACCACCTAAATATTTTAGAATCTTGGCTAACTCACTATCTTAAACTTCAGGTTATTTATGAATGATTAAAAGCATTCATTCTAGTTATATTACTCTTATTTTTTTTACCTTATCTTCATTCCTATGCTGCTTCCAGACTAATTGTTCCTAATGCTACCACAACATATGCTGTGCACTTCCTTTCATTTTTCCTTATATTAAAAAAAAGAAAAACTACAGTAGGAAAACACAAATTACAAACTGAAGACCACATATGGATTCTATATAAAATTCCATGACTGAAGCAGGTAATGACTAGTTAAATGCTTTGCCAAGAAGAATTTTCTCTAACCAGTTTAGAGTCCATAAGAAGACCAGAATTTCTTCTAAGCCAATTTGAGAACTGATGTGATCTTTTAAAAAATATTCTATCCATTATTATTTGTTCAACCTCAATATAAAAAAGAATTCTTAAAGTGCAATTAATTTACTATAACTACCATAATTTAGACTGAAGCTTCCACTTACATGGGAATATCACTAACATAAGGAAGTTTATTATTTATTTTTTAATTTTCCTTATACATAGGACTGTAAGATTTCAACATTAGGGAATATTTTAATGAGAAATTCTTTTTTTATTAAAAATAAAGACACAATTTAAAAGACTATGCAACTTTTTGCAAAATCTAATTCACTTTCTTGTATGACAGCCATTATTTCTCTTCTAAAAATATGCTTTAATTAAATATTTTAAAGAGAAAACAAGTAAACAAAAAAGGGACAACAGGGATAAAAAGTGAAGTATGTTGTACCTAGATAGGGGTTTTAAAAGTTATAATTTTATTTTAAAATTTTGTTGGTTATAAATGGGTATTATATAGTTTGAAAAAATTATTTATAGCCCTAAAGCTCTAAAAAGAATGCAAATATAGCAATAGTAGTCAACACAGTATAGACCAGGGGTCCCCAACCTCCGGGGTCATGGTACAGTACCAGTCCATGGCCTGTTAAGAACCAGGCTGTACTACCTATTGCTGGAGGTGAGCGGGCGACGAGCAAAATTGAAACCATCCCCTCCCGGTCTATAGAAAAATTGTCTTCCACGAAACCAGCCCAATGCCAAAAAGGTTGGGGCCTGCTGGTATAGAGAATATATATAGCTCAGGGCTGAACTGTGGAATCCTTGGTACTATCTGTGCTTGGTCGTTTGCTTGCAGATGCTTCATTACCTGATTAGGTAACATCATTATAGGTAGCCCTCAACTTACAACCACAGTTGGGACCAGGACGTCCATTGTTAAGCAAAGTAGTTGTTCAGTGAATGATATCGAATTTTATTGGTCATTAAATGAATTATGCAATCATTAAGCAAATCTGGCTTTTGACTTTGCTAAGAAGATGTGGTGGAATGTAATCTGGAGTTGTAGGAGCGCGAGGCTCTTTCTCAGAAGGTAATTGTCAAGGTTGAATTGCTAAGATGCCTGCTAATCTCTATCGCTACTCAATTTGCCATAGAAACGGGGGAGGGGGAGGAAGCAGGAGTTTAAAAAGCCGTCCATGGATCGTGAGAGCCTACAAGGATGCCAAGGTCACTAACGCAGGTATCTGACAGAGAAGTGGACCATTCTCATAATAAACCAAAGACATATGGTTGGGCAACTGGAACACTCGGTGAGTGGAGGTTATGGAAAGCTATTGTTAACTAGGCAGATTTTCGCCCAGGAAAACCAGAGCTGGTTTTGCTTCTTCAGTTCCGAGATATGTATTCAATAAAGTTTATCTTTCATGGCACTTCAAAGCCTTGAAGATTCCTTAATTTTGAGTTCGCTAGTTGGATGGTTGATAGTAATGAGACAGTGGAGCTTGGAATGTCTGGTGGGCAGGAAAAGAGCAAGGCTGGACCTTCCCTAGGAATTCACGCAGTATATTACAGATAACTAACTGCTTGATCTGGCAAGATTCTGACTTTGCTTGTCAGACGGTCACAAAAGGGGATGACATGTCCCCAGGACACTGCAACTGTCATAAATATTAGTCAGCTGCCAAGTGTTTGAATTCTGATCATGTGACCGTGGGGATGCTGCAATGGTCTTAAATGTGAAAAACTCTCATAACTCATTTTTTCAGTGATGTAACTTTGAACAGTCACTAAATAAACTGTTGTAAGTCGAGGACTAACTGTACTGATAAGTAACTCATTGTATAGTTCTTGGTTGTTTGGGTCTGACAGAAGGAAACAAAAAGACCAGAACACCTCTTCAGCAGCCAATATCCAGATAAGTAGGGATTAACCCCAGACAAACAATCAAGCAGAAAACAATACACTAATCAAAGCACTACCAAGGAGAAAATAATTCTCCTGCCAACACTGCCAGGGCAAGCCACTGTGTATAATCAAGGAGCACATCCCACACTCATTACCACTGATGAAACGTTACCTAGTTAGGTAATGAAATATCTGCAAATAAATAGCCCCCAAAGACTCACAAACAAACAGTCTACAACAATAATAAATTACAATTAATTCTGTCCATACATCTAAAAGTCTGTTCTAAAAATACAATCTTGTTGTAATAATAAAGACAACCATTATTGTTTTTGAAAACTATACTACTCTTAGCCACTGAAAACTAACTATATTTGTTAAATTAAATATTGGATGACTTAATTTGATTAAATTCTTAGAGCTGCCCATCTCATGTGACTTTGGACCACTCACAAGTTACAACAGCAAACTAATCAATGAATACATTTTTTTAAAAATGGGGAAAATGAATGGTACTCACCTTGTTCTCCACTTTGGATTAATATTTTCCAAATCAAAGTTACATGAAATTGGAAATATAAAATAAAATGTTAATATTAAAATATATAATCCAATACGTAATACTAAATTTGGAAAACATAATAAAATTCACCTACATAAAAGTAATAGCTACAAAAAAGTTAAGGACTAATAGCTTCCTTGAAATTTCTTAATCTACCCATTGTATTTTTGCAGCAAGTTGTAATTTTACCTTGGTACTGGAGGAAGAATCCGGGGTGGACGCTGCAATATATAAAAATATACAACTCAATATATATTTTTTAAAAACGTATTTTAGAATATCAGCAGCTGTATTATAAGACTGTAAACCTTGTTTAAAGTGGGCCATTATTTATTTAGTTAAACAGATTTATTTAAACAGATATACGCTAGCAAAGAAACTACAAACATAAATTTTAGAGCAGTAGCACCATTCATAACATAGTTTTAGAAAAGCCTGCCTAATCACAATAACTTTCTTTGTTCCACTGAAATAAGCAATGGAATTGAATCAATGTGTAACCAGATATCTCACAAGATGTACACATTTTAAAAAGCAGTCAAAATTCATTCCTTTTATTGTTCAATGAACTGTATTCTCTACCCATGAAAACAATGAGACAGTTCTGAAATCAGATCTTTCATGGTGCAAATGAAACCAAAGATGAATGAAGCAAAAATGAAGCCAGACTTAGGCATAGTTTTTATCTTTTTTTAAAACAAACAAACAAATGTATAACAATTCAAAACAGAACTCACCACTTGCTTCTTCCCCATATCCCCTTAGTGAGGTTACATATGAACTAAGGCAACCGGACATAAATCTACAATGACACTTGTTAATCCTGTACTGTATTAAAAATAAATCTCCAGTACCCAGGATTAGCTGGAAATGAACTTTTGCCCCACCTAGTTTAGGGCTGGGGGTTATTTTATTATGAATTGCCCTACAGAAGTTCTCAATGGCATCTGCTACACAAACCTCTCAAGTGTCTCAAATGTAAAGGGTTTGTTATAGTACTCTTCCTGAAAGATAGGGAATAAGTATGTAAAAATTGAGTTTAACATATCTCTTCCAATGTCTTTTGGTAAAAAACAATATTAATTCTGAAATGAAGTTTCACGGGAGTTTGTACTAAAATGGAATTCTGTACACTACACCGAACTTGCTATCAGTTATACATGATCTGTTGAATTATCTAATAGCCAAAGGTAGTTAGCAATTCCAGCTAAGCAGTAATTCCTAAAAGACAGGGAGAGAAATTAAGGCATAAAGCAGATAAGCAGCATTAAAACTCCTACAAGGCAACCTTCTTCAACGGAAACAAGAAAGGAGAAGAAAGCTCTGCCACTGGTCTTAGCATCCTCATCACTCTTCAGAACAGCAATTTCAAGGATCCTTCTGAAGCAAGCAGCCTTCCCACTGGCTTGATAAGATTCAGAAGAATCCTAAAAACTCAGGATTCCAAATTTCTTGAGGTAATGTATCACACCCCAGGTCTCAATAATTCTCCCGCTTCTGGGGAGTGATGGAGGTGATATTACACTGGGATATTACACTGACGGAAATTGCTGCGATGTGAAGTGCGCCCTGCATTCGAGGGAGTTTCTTCTGATTAAAGAAGGCACAGAATCGGGCTGCCAGAGAACGAAAGGAGCAGCTCAAGACGGGGTGACTAAACAAACTGATGGAGAACAGAGGATGTTTTAAGATGTGCATAATTCCCCCCCCCCAGCTCTGTTTTAACAAATCCAAAGTATTTTTAAAATACCGTAAAATGGGCTATTGGGGGGAATTACAAGTATGAACCTTTACAGCCACGTGCGGATTATCCAGGGTGGATTTCTTCGTCTAACAACGAGCGTTTCCAAGCGAGTCCTACGTGCGGAAAATAACTCCCAGTCGAGGAAAACAAGCGGCCAGTTTTGCAAACAAAGCACAGGGTAACGTTTCCAAATAATACCCGTAACTTTACGATGCAAATACCGCTGTGCGTTTATTTCGAAAAGGACATGAACTGGGGCTATTGTGAGCACAAACAACCCTCCTCAACAACTGCCAGTTGGAGAAAACCACAAATCTGAGAGATGCTAAAATTACACTTTCGGCCAAGCCCGATTTTAACAGGGATGCATCCTCGGGAACCACAACGCGAATAGCACGATCGCCAAAGCGTGGGGGCTCCGACGGCAATCAATCGCCCTTCCGTCCCTCACCGGGCGCACCCCTTCCATCCTCTCCCGCAGTCTAGGCGTCCGAGGCAACCTCCTCACAGCAACCGAAAGCGCGCCCTCCTCCCAGACGCTCCTGCCGCAGACGCCCAGGGAAGAGGAGGGGAGCCGGCAGCGCCATTTCCGGGCGGGGAGGCTGCGCTTAGCTTGTCGTTCCCGCTGCTGCGCTCTGCAAATTCCCAGCTTTCCGATAATCTTCAGAGCATTGCGGTGGTTGATGAGCTGCCTAGTAGGCTACGAGGAAAAGACATTGCTCTCCTTTTCACTAGGATTTATATATACTGTATCGAATTGATGATCCCAGTCCTGTCTTTTCATCTTGGGAGATCATGAAATTCAATGGTGAAAAAAGTAAGGTTCTACATTTA